CGCCCACTGCTCCCCTCAGCAGTGTACTTCATCGATCTGCCTGTTCTGCTCCCCACTCTGTCCCTGGTGAATTCTCTCACCCTCCGCATCTCTGTACCCCAGTTCTGTATGAATAAATAAATAAATCTTTAAAAAAATTATCTTAATATGCCAATTATTGGGCTGATGGGATTTTAAAAAACCAAGACTGAACCTATACTGTCTACAAGAAACCCACTTTAGAGTAATGATCTACATAGACTAAAAGAAAGAGACAGTAGCAAACACTAGTGGAAGGAATGCTGGAATGTCCATATAACATCAGACAAAGTGGATTACGGAAGGAGAAAACACTAGCTCTTTACTGATATGTGAAGGATGGTTTTAAAGAGCAAATCCAATCTTTTTTTCAGTGATCTGTTTGGAAGAAGAAATTGATACCATTCTTTGAATTCTGGTACCAGCTGAAATTGCCTAGGACAAAGAAGCAGAGAAATGGATTTTTCCTGATTTTCCTCCCAGTGATCTCACCCAAGGGAGAAGGCTGCAAAGTGGTTTTGGAAATTGCTGCTATCAAAGAGAAGATATGTTCCGAGCACAAGGAGATGAAGACAGCTTAAAAATTCTTGTTACAGTCCTCTGACCTAGCAATTCCTCGGTGTAAATCCAACTGCAGTCTGTACATAGAAAACCAAGACATGAACTAGAATGTTCACAGATCATAATTTATAATAACTCAGTGGGAAACAACCCAAAATGTCTATCAGTGGTCGCTGTATAAAATGAGTTATATTTACACAGTAGAATGATACACAGCAAAAAAAAAAAAAAAGCCGCAATTACAACAATAAGACTGAACCTCAAAAAGGACTGAGCAGAAGTCCTACACAAAAGAATATAGGCTTTATGATTCTGTTTATATACAGGTCACTTGCGTTGATGATGGGAGAAGTCAGTAGCTTTGGGGGCCTTAAGGGGGACTTCTGGGAGACTAGTCATGTTTTGTTTCTTGATCTGGGTGCTGGTTACAACTGAGTTGTGTCTTTTTGAGTACTTTTTTTGTTTTTATATAATGCTTCAATAAAAGGTTTAAAATTGCTTGGATATTTGACATTAATGGGACACAACTGTTCTTTAATAAGAAAGAGGTGGAGGAAAAAGTTCACTATTTTGGTCTTAGCTCATACTGCCTAGTGGTTGAGAATACCTTATCTGTGTCATGTTGTTGAAGTAGCTGGCTAGCTTGGTGGATGAGCCAACTGACCCAGTTGGACCATGTGGCGAAATGGAAAGGCAAGACACTGGACAGGAGATGCCCCAGCGCGCCATCATTTAACTGTCGCCCAACCTCCCTCTCTGAGTCTTAATTCCACCTCATCATGAGGTGAGAATCGTTTTTGACTGGCTTGTTGTAAGGTTTAAATAAGATCATGATTGAGTGAATATCTGCCATGAATAAACTATTGTACCTTTTTGTACAGTCGAACAATATTTATGCCACTTTGCCTATTAAAAATAATTATATATTTTATGTAGTTTTAATGTAATAGAAACAGTGATCCTTTTATAAAGAACCAACTGTGTACCAGTTAATCCCTTCTTTATAATCTCATTTACTCCTTAAAATTACCCAACAGTTTTAGTAACACTGGCAGATCATGTAACATCAGTGGCTACCATTCTGATGCCTCCTCTGTAGCAGCTGCAGTGAACTGTTGCTCGGATCTCACCTTCAAGATTGAGGTGAACATTCCCCTAGCACCTGTGGAAACTGTAGGTAAGAAAGACTCTAGCGCTAATGTGCCAACTCCCTACAACTAAGAAATAGCTGGAGGTGGGCTCAGCTCTGAGTCGCCGGCTGCTAACACAGGGCTCTCTTTCAACTAGCTGGCATCACAGGGTTTTCATCTCTAGACCCCTCCTGAGTTTTCCAGCAGCATCTTTCTTTCTTCCCTCACACCCCTGAACTCCAGGTGTAGTGAGGTGCTTGCAGTTACCTGAGGTGGCCTCTATCTTTCACATCCATGTGCTTCCCCCCTCCCTTTTTTTTTTTGGCATTTTCCTTAATTTTAAAAATATATGTATAATAGTTTATTTTTACATATTTTTGTGCATTTTTCTATCTCAGTTGCAATCCCCTTGGGTTTCCCATCACAAAATCACCCATGTGCCATCACTATAGTCCAGTGCATTTCCTTCCCCCCCCACTGTTTTTGATCCCATTCCCCAACTTCCCCCTTTTTTAAAAAATAGATCCACCACTCAGCTTTAGGGTTTTTCAGAACTATCACTCTCCAGATTCTCCCCTCTGAATAGCACAGAAATTCAGTGTATCTAGGTCACTTTCTGGCTTGTGCTGTCTTATGAATTATGGATTTTAGGGAAGTCTCCTCTCCAGACCAAGTGTGCAGAAACTGAAGGGGAGACAGAAAAATGTCTTCCTTCCCGGGATCTGTCAGTAGGTGGCGCTGTGTCACCCATTGCTGGACTTGGACAAATCGCATCTCCTGGCAAATTTTCCAGGAGGCACAGTATACCATGTCAGGTAAGTAGAAAATTGTCCACCTCCAACAGAAAAACAAAGTAGCCTTCTGTGCAAATGAACATGAGACTTAGAGAGAGCAAGGTGAGAAGGAGCTTCGGAAGGAGAAATCCTTTGCCTTTTATTCTGCTATTTCTATTTGAACTTGGATTCTCTGCGTTTTAGCTACAATGGGGATGGAGCATCCGGTTTTTAAATGTGCACCTCTTAGCCTAACAAGACTAATCAAAAGTAGGAATCTGCAGAAACACATAAAATTGACATGCCAAATGTATGTGCACACGCCATTTCACATATTGTAAATAGAGTATACGGAGGTGGCTGGTGCTGAAAAGACAGCCCCAGAAATATATCTCCCAGTATTAATAAAAATCATAGAAGGTGCTGGATGGGTAGCTTCAAGGCCCAACAAGTCTTTAAAGTAGATGAAATTGCATTATTTGGTTTGGGTGATGAGCGCCTATTTCCTTGGAAAGGAGAAAAAAAGAATGCTGGCGGCTCTCATTAGAACTAATAGCCAGAGGGATCGCAGTTTAAAGCATGGCTCATTGTTCCTTCTCTTAGATTGTGAAAAAAAATGGATCACACAGAGAACTCCAAAGGGTAATGTCACAACCTCCCTCGGGCTCACCATTGAAAGTTAACAAATATTAGCAGTTGGTACCATTTGCTGCGGTTTTTAGATGTTGTTTATCACTGGAAAAGTTCCTTGTATCTAAAGGTCTTAACCAGGATACATATGGTCAGTTTTTTGCTGATAACAAATTCATATTGCAAGAGATTTGAGGGCTGAAAGATTATGTAATTGAGCACCTGCAGTTTTACTGATGAAACAGTAGTGAATGGGAAGAACCGATAGAATACCACCATAGAGATTTGTAGCATTTCGTCATCCCCTCCCCCCATGTAATTTCCCCTTTTACTCTATGTAAACCAAACAGCCATCTATGAAAATGTGACAATGAAGGAACTGGATGTCCAAGAGCAGGGATTGTTTGAGGGTCTCATGTTCCATTGGTGGTGTTTGCAATGAGAACTCCAGTTCCTGGGCACCATTTTCAAAGGACTGCTCAGTGTGAGGTCTGCACTCAAAGGACTGCTGAGTGTGAGGCCTGCACTCTGTGGCTCAGATTTGAGCTGTGGATAGGACTGGCCCCCTGTCTCCCTCACCTCATGCAGGGCTTCTCTTGGGGTTGGGCATCCATTGAGCTGGGTATTCACAGAACTGGGTTCAGAATCTCTAGTTCCCACAGGGCAGGACCCAAGATGTTTGGGCTTAGAAGAAGGGCTTGTGGGTCTCCACGATTTCCCTGGGGATCCATATTGAACTGGAGCCAGAACCCAACAAGGACCTGGATATTCTGGAATATTCTGGGTGCCCACACAGTGGCATGCATGACACGGCAGAATGGTGCTAGCCCACACCCAGGTAGGTCTTTGAAATATTATAAACTGGGTTCAGCTGGCATGCGGCTGAGGAGGTACTGTTCCCCTGAGGATGCAGTGTATAACACCACCAGCCCCCATGCTTCCTGAGGCTTTTCTGAGGGGGCCTAAGAATTTAGTTTTGATGCCTAGGTCCTGACTTGCATTGCCATCTGGCACTCCCTAGCTGTGTGACTTGGGCACACTGTAGCTTTCTGTAGAAACAAGATGACAATTATCTAGCTTGTCATCAACCAACAGAAATGTAGGGTGAGCCATATGTGCTATTTTAAATTTTCTAATAGCCTCATTGGGGAAAAAAAAGAAACAGGTGAAGTAATTTCTTTACAATATATCCAAAGAAATATATATTTCTTTATTGTATATATTGGATATATCCAATATACTATCATTTCAATGTACAACTGATACTTAAAAAATTATTAGTGAGATATTTCATATTTTGGAGGTGGTTGAAGACCGAGTCTTCAAAAGTCCATGTGGAATTTACCATTATAGCCTCCCTCGACACCAGCTTCATTTCAAGTGCCTACTGGTTTATATGGTCCATGGCTTGTATGTTGAGCATTACAGTTACAGTTCATTGGGTTGTTCTGAGAATTAAGTTGTCTGGCTGGACTATTATTAAAATGTAGATACTATTGTTTTTGTTACTCTTACCAACAAAAGACATTCTCATGCTCAGATGCACTTCTCCTTTGCCCCCTTACTGATTCCAAGGATGGACCCCCAAAAGTCTACACAGAGCCAGGTGACAGGACCCTGTTCTCCATGCTGTTGACATGGCCTCCATAGAGAGAAAATTGGTGAGTGACAATCCCCCAATTCTTGGATGTACAGCTCCTAGGTACTGTGACTGGACCATACTCTCCATGCACACGGGAGTCTACTTCTCCACCTACTGAATCTGGGCTTGGCCACAGAACTTGCCTTGGCCAATGGGACATCAGAAAATGGGACACATGTAGAGATTTGAAAATGCTCACATATTGGGCCTCTTCTCACTTGTTTCTAAAGACCCTTCTGCATCCTAGAATGAGCCTCCACCAGCCTGTTGGATAATGAGCAGCACATGCCCATGGCTGAGATCTAGCTGACCACCAGACACTCAAGGGAGGTCTTTGTAGGCCATCTAGCCCCAACCGCACCAGCTGAGACAAGAAGGGCCACCTAGGTGATACGGAACAACCATAGGAAAGTCTACCTATTATTTTAATCCTCTAAATTTTGTTAGGCAGCAAACACTGTTACATCTTGATCCAAGCACAAAGATTCCTCTCACCTCGGGAGGTAGTAGGGATCAAATATGTGGCCATCTCCAGTACTGACTATGCAGGACAGGTTTCCGGTGTAGGGAAAAAGAAGCCATGTCAGGGAGATGGTGACATTGTCAAAGACGAAACCCTCCCGGGACACCGTCAGCTGTAGGCCTGTGGGTGAAAACACAGAATGTCGGTGCCATGTCACAAAACACAGACACGTGTTTCTGTTTAAAACCTGCTCTCTTCTGTCTACCTCTCCTTCATTTTTAGCTGGGGCTTTTATGATTTTATTTACTTTTAGAAGTTTTTTCAAATTTCATTTTTTGTTCAGAGGTAATACATGCCCGAGATACAGAATTTAAAATGTAGAAGGGGGGTATGCAGGGAAAGAAACTTCCCATCCACTCCAACCCTTGCCCCCAATTCTGCTGCTACAGTTACCGTGTCCTGGGTCTCCTTCCAGAAACATCTACACATTGACCAGCACACACATGCTCTTGCACCACAGGGCTCACACTCTGCTCATTTCTTTGCATCTTCCATTTTTCTTACTGAGTGTTTCTGGGAGCTTGTTCGAGGTGAATTCAGTTAGAGCTTCCTTGTTCTTTACAAGAGCTGCATGATGGACTCTAATTGATGTAACCAGGATTCTATTGATTGCCCTAATATATCTTATAATGCTTAAAAAAAAAAAAAAGGTGAAACACCTTTAAGAAATCTATTTGACTGAGGTGGCCGATGACTCACTGTACATCATCTGATGTACATTACACCCACAAAACAGAGTTGTTGCAGAGAACAGAGGGCAGGACTGATGGGCCAGGGCTCATCCCCCAGCCCTAGGCTCATCTGTGGCGCAGCATATTATGACTTCAGAGCACAGATGAGAAGGGGAAAGATGTAAGATGCTGGATGTGAATGAGAAGGACTTTCTTGACCTGGTGGTCTGATTCCTGGCCATCCTGGGAGACTCAGGGACCAGCCAGGCCCTACTGGGCACAGATGTGGGGGGTGGGAGGAGTTGAAGGAGCTTCTATATAAGTCACAAATTTGTTCTTCACCACTGACTCACAGAACACTGACTCGCAAGGAAGAGGAGATTCAAAATTAAGGTTGGGACAGAAAATCTGATCTACATGGACACTACCTGCCCTAAGCCACCTGGGTGGCCACAACGCAACTGGCAGCTCTCCAGAGGCATACCTGTCCAGTTAGTGAAACTACCAAGCAAAAATCACTGCTGAAACACCTGGCCACCTCTTCCTGGGAAAAAAAGTAGAGATCTCTCCCTAAGTTCATTCAACCCTAGTGTATCAGGAAGGTTAAAACGGTCTTCTATGTCCTCTTTCCTTCTTATATCCTTATCTTTGGGTGGGCCTCTCTTCCCTTCCCATAGACCCTGTTCCCTTGGTTAGCCTCAGGGGACCCCAGCATCCCCTGACTTCTTTTTTTCCTTCAGAACTCCCTGCACCATTCCTCAACACTGCAGGAGAAGTTGGGCACTGGTGGGATGTGATTTCACAAAGTTAGGGGCAATCAGTGTTACATATCCAGCGAGTAAGAATGTAAGTCCATATGGCATTTGGGAGGGTAATTTGGTAATATATTAATTAATTAATGTGTACATGCCCTATATCCCAGCATTTCCACCACTGGGGATCTCACCCCTGGACATAACCTTAGACACATGTCAAGGTATTTGAAGAGTCACTGCAGAGTGATAAATACCAAAGAGGAGTCAGGGCAACCTAAACACCATCAACAAGGGAATTGAGTAAGTCAGTCTTGATGATGGAATACTGTGCAGTCCTTAGAAAAATAAGGCAGCTAGTTGGAATGATGTCCAGAACACATCATTAAGTGAAAGAACAGTGAGGTGTAGAGTAGTGCATTAAACATGATCATATATTTTTAAAGTACATATATATGTGATATATATTCACACATGGTCATGCCTATACAAACACTCAAAAAAACAGGGAGGTATTTACTCTTGGTGTTAACAGTAGTCTCCTTATAGGAATAGGACTGCAGAGTTGAGGAGGAGTCTTCCTTCTTGATGTAGAAAACTTTAAAGATGGCATTATGGGTCAGTTTTTGGCCTTTGAGGTCCCTATTTCTAAAAAGTCCTGTGTGTCCTATGACTACCTTGGAAGCAGGTGGCTAAGCAGGTGGGGGATGTAGGGTGAGAGACCTTTTAATTTTTCTAGTCAGGTAACTTACAGTTGTCTGCTGTGTCTATTGGGTCATCCCATGAAAATTAATTATTCAGGATCTTGGGACTAAAAATATATGTATTTTTACTTCTGGTTTGATGGTTTGTTTCTACAACAGGACCCTCAAACTCCCCCAACCAGAGGCTAAACAGGTGGGGAGGGCTGGGTAAGGGCAGCTGTCTGGCTCCTGACGGAAGCCAATCTGGCGTTGAAAGGTGTTTCTCACACCCTAGCAGGCTGGGAACTTACCTTCTCGGCACTGGTACTGCACCCAAAGGTAGCTGCCCCATGAGGGACACAAGTCTCCGAAGTAGGTACCGTCAGCTGCCACCTGGCATGCCTGTAGCCCTTGGCACTGACCTGGGCAGCACCAGATTCCAGCAGAAGCCAAAGGTGTGAGGGACAAAAAGGGACAGTTGTAGATAGAGACGAATCAGCTTTCCTCCATGCATTCACCCGCCATCCTCCCAGCATTTTCTGTTGCTATTTACCAAACACCGAGCACTATGCCAGGGACTTGGGGGAGCAAGAAGTAGAATTTCTGCCCTCAAGTAGCTCAGCGTGTGGCAGAGAAACTCTTAAACTTTGGAATATACCAGAATCCCCCAGAGCGCTGAAAAGACAGATTTCTTGAGCCCATCCCCAACAATTCTAATTCAGTAGATGTGAGGGCAGTATGAGAATTGTGTTGATGCTGGTGACCCAGGGACCCCACTTTGAGAACTGCTGGTCTCAGGTCAAAATAGCCAGTCCAGCCCAGCTCCTCCACAGTGGGAGGACCACAGCCTCAGGAATGCTGCATCCAGGAGAGAGCTCCTCAGAGCTGATTTCAGCATTTCTTTCCCCCACATCTGCACTCAGCAGAGCAAAGACAAGTGGGTGCCATGTGGAGAGAAGAGGAACAAGTTCATTCCAAGGGAGGGGTGGCTGTTCAGCAAGTTCTGAGCTATTAGGTGTCCCCTCTGGATCTTTGCAGGACTTTGAGGGTCGGCAGGTCTCCATGGGCAGATGGTGAGTAGCGCTTATGGGGAGGCTGGCTCCAAGCCCCAGAGCTCCCAGCATGGGAGTACTGTGCCCTCACTGGGTTGAGAAGTTGCAGACCTGCCTTCAAGGGACCCTGAAGGAGAGCCCCCCACCCCCGCCCTGTGCACTGGCAGTAGGAGTTTCTGAGGTCTCTGCACCCCCAGGAGAGTCCAGGGCGCCCCTGTCAGCCCTGATATGGAACCTTTCACTGGTCAAATGCAGCTCTGATTTTGGGAAACAAGGCCCTAGAGAATCTCATGCCCAGAGACCACCTCTCCCCGCCCCCCAACCGACAGCTTTGCTGAGCATTGTTTAAAGCAACCTGTGCATAGCACCACAGAGGAAGAAACAAGTGAAGCAGTGAGACAACAGATCAAATAAATAAACATGTATCGGGATGGATAATATGCCGGGAAAACAGAGTGTTGAGCAAAAAAGAAACAACCCCCTCCTCCCCAAAAAAAGAAAAAGAAAAAGCTTTTGCAGAATAACATATATAATAGGATACTGTTCTGTGAATAACAGAAACACTAGAAGACCCTCCCAGGGTATCTGACTCAATGCCTAAGGATGCGTTGAGAGAAAGTAGCAGTAACAGGCCATGCGAGCTATCCCTAAATACTGAATTGGTGATGGGACAGCCCTGCAAGAGCACAGCTATGTATCTAATGAGGTTTCTGTCTCTTTTGAGGGAATCTGAAACAAAAAAGGCCAAGGATCTATGAGAATTCACTGAAATACCCGCGCCCCCCCCCACTATTGTCTTTCAAAATTTAATAAATTAAATTGTGAAACTAAAGTTCCTTGAACCCCAGGAGGTTGAGAGTAAACGTGCTCCTGCCCCCGGGGTGGGCTTGAGAGGTAGGCATGGCCCTCTGGCTGTGCTCAGTACCATGAGCACAGACTGGCCACTTTCTCCCACATTTTGGAAGCCCAAGTTCAGATGTGTAGACAGTCTGAGCCTTCCAGAGCCCTCTGCTGGGCACACAACACCAGGAAGTGCTGTGCTTACACAGCTGTGGGGCCCATGTGCCCTACCTGCCACTTCGTCCTTGACACTGACCCAACTGCATTCCTCCTCCAGGTCAGAGGGGTGTGCAGGCCCCTGGGTGCAGTAATGGGGAGTCTGACGCCCATAGAAAGCATCCTGGATCTGGATGACCTCTCCTGAGCCACAGTGCATGGTGGCACTGAAGCCCTCGCAGGCCAGGCTCTGGCCCATACCTGTGACAAAAGGAAGGTGACAACTTAGAAAGGGTCATAGTCATGGGTGGCATCTCAGGACGGTGAGATTCAAGACACCAGGTGAAGAGTAGGGTGGGCAATGTAATGTGGTGGTCATAAGGTTTGGAACCAGGCTGTCCAGGGTCAGAGCCCACCGAGTCAAGCACTAGCTGTGTGACCTTCTGCAAATTCATTAGCTTCTCTGTGCCTCCTTGGTAGAGGTTGTGTGGATACCATTCCCATAGGGTTATTAGGAGTCTGACATGTAAGGAAGCGCTGTGCAGGTGGCAGCTGTTATGTTCCTATTTCAGATACCTTCCCAAGCAGACCCTCTTATAGGCTCACTTCTTTTTATTAATTTTTTAAAAATTATTTATATTTGCATAGGAGAATTGGGGTCTGGCCAGAGGTGCTGGGTATGAAAGGAGGAAGGACACCAGAAGCATATAGTCTCATTTCATTCAGCATCATGTTGTTACAATATTGAGGGCCAAAATAATAATAACAATAATTTCTCAGCCAGGGTCACTCTGTGGCACTCTCTCCCCATGACTATGTAGAGTCTTCTCTGGGGGCTCTGGTTTCCTCTCTTACCTCAGTGACATGTATGAAGTTCATTGGCAAGTCTCAATATCCTGGTCAGTGTGTGTGTGTGTGTTCACGCTGTGATAGAAGAGCATCTGTCCATGATTGTGTCCCCCCTCTTTGGTCCCTTAGTTGCTGAGAAAGGCTGTGACCCTCCATGACCCTAAATTGGAGTAAGCAGGTTGGACAATAAGTGGGCGTGTGAACATAAAGGGCAGTTTCATTTCAGGTCTGTTTTGGGCCTTTATCTACAAGTTTAGTGATGCTTTTGTGACCAGAAATATACTGTAGGAACTTAGCACTTTTGCCAAGGACTCCAAAACCCCCGGGGACAGCAGAGTCAGAGAGACAGGTTTACGTTGGAGTGGAGGAGGTGGAAATTTGAGGGCTGTGGTAAGAAGAGGGAAGTTGCATGATATGCAGGCCCCCAAAGCTTCCAGATTTTCAGAATGACAGCACGAGGCAGTAAGCCTGTGGTGGGGGGATGGAGGACAGGGAGCCCTGTAAGTGTCCAAACCTACACTGGGGCCTATGAACTGAGAGGCTCTGATGAAGGGCTTACAGCCAGGAAGGGGGCTGGGCCCAGGAACCCCAAAAGCTTCTATATATCCTGGCTTGAGTGTCAGGAACTGGTGGGGAGTTCAGCAACAAAAGCAGGCCCTGTATAGCAGGGCCCCAAAGGGGTCAACTATAGGCAGGGGCTGGGACGGACACAAGAACAGAAGAGAGGAATTAGGGGCCAGGTGCTGTGGGCTTGGACCCAGGACCAGCCACGGCAGCCGGTGTCCGGGGTTAGTGAGAAAAGCCTCCTGGGCCCGCATTTCCCTTTCACTCAGAAAGGAGAATACATATGACTCAGCATGTCTCTCGAGATGCAGGTGTGTGAGATGCAGGTGTGTGAGGGAAAGATGGACCAAAAGAAGGTGAGTGGACAGGAGAGGGAGGGGACATGAGCTGGGAGATGAATGAGATGCAAAGACTCAGAGCATCACACAGAGATGGATGGGTATTTAGAGATAGACACGGAGAGAGACAGAAAATGAGGTGGAGAGACAGCAGAGGGAGATAGAAACAGCGAAAGAGACACAGAATATATAGATGGGGACAGAAGGAAGATATGCAGAATTTATGCTGAATTTCACCTACCAATCAGAGAAAAAAGAGACAGATACAAAGAAACCTGGAGAGATGGAGACACAGAGAGACAAAGAGGAGGGCGGCCCCACCGCAGGCCCAGCTCACCAAACTCGCAGATGAAGGCGAAGGGCTGGGAGCACTTGTCCGTGGCCGCCCACCTGGAGGAGGCATCTCTCCCGATGTAGCCACAGGTGTTGGGGGCAGGAGCATTCTCCCCAGCTTGCCAGTGGCTGTAGCTCACGTTTGAGGTGTCCAGCCACATCCCCATCCCTGGATGGAGGGTGGAAGCATTTCTGATTCTGTTTCATGGCAGGGGTGTGCCCAAGCTCAGTCCTTGAGTGCCTCAAATGTTCCATCCGTGGGGACAGATGGCAGCGCTGAGTTACAGGGGAAGCAGTTACTGGGACTTGTGGAATCTTGCTTGCCTGGTTGTGACTCTGGCAGAAATGTGTGTGTATGTGTGGACCCAAAGGCATTTCTGGGTCACTAAAAATCTGGAAAGCCCTAGCTAAAACATATTTACCACCAAGACTGAAAAATGTAATCACTGATTTGTAAACAAAACAAAACAAACAAACAAAAAACCTATAAGTGTTTTTAAAAAATTCAGTTTGCACAAATAGTGAAAAAGGGAATGTAATGAAAACCCCTCACTCCTCCCATCTTAAGGCTGATGCCCACCGTGGTTACAGTTCTTGCTAGCTGTTTTATGCTGAATTTCACCTACCAATCAGCATTTCGAAGGGCCAGAAATCTATTTACACAAACACCACCATCTTGCACACAGCGCTATATCCCTTGTTTTTTAAATAACTTTGGATATTGGAGGCTGTTTGAGATCTGCCTCGTTGGGTGAACTCTGTTTTTTCTAACAGCCAAGCAGTATCCCTTGGAGCTTTTAAATAGACACAGCTCTTTTCACTGCACTTGAATGGGTGCTCAGTAAACCAAGCAACTGCTGCATCTAAAAGCAAGAAACCATTCAGCAAATATTGCCTAAAGATGCCTTTTAGAACTCAAACCTCTTGTTCTGAGATTTCCAAAAATGAGTCACCCCACTGATCTTTTGTTTTTTTTTTAATATAGATTTATTTATGCATACAGAACTGGGGTACAGGTCAGAGGTGCAGGGGTGGTGAGAGGCTTCACCAGAAATAGAGTGGACAGATCGAGGAAGTACACTGCTGAGGGGAACAGCAGGCAAGACAGCAGAGGTCTGCTGTGCCATGTGGGTCACCTCTGGGGCTGGGGATTGAACTTGCACTGAAGTGGCTACAGCTAGCTTGCAGTGCTAAGTCCTAACCCATTGAGCCACCAGGGAAGGCCACCCCACTGATCTTTTAGCAAAACATTTCCATCTTTGCTGGTGTGTTTCTGTGAGTGCTTTGCTTAGCCCAAGTTACTCTAAATTCCCAAAACCCAGTAGCATGTACGGGGCAAGCATCTGGGTGCCAGTGTGATTCCAGCACTGATCTGAGACCTCACTGCCATTCCCTATCTGCAGCGAGTTCATTTTCTTCAGTCATTAAGGTGCACATTGCATTACTATCCCGGAGGTGTGGGGGGGGGTGGCACAAGGGGGAGAGGTGGGGAAAGTATAAGGAATAAATAGGATGAATTGTCTGTCCATTCTGTTTTATGTCCAGCCACTGAGAAAACCAAAATTCCTTCTTTGAAGGATTCATAGTGTAGGAGGAAAGATACCTAAAAGCTAAATGCTAACATAGTACAAGGTCATTTAGGTACTCAGGTGAGAAGGACCCACTTGGCTGTGACCCAGTGAGTGGTCACACCTGGGTCAGTGCTCCCAGGAGGGACATGGAGCAAGACAAGCTAACCCAAATTGAGCTATGGTGCACTCGACCTACTTTAGGCTCAGAACAAGTGGGAAAAGACCATATTAGTAACTTAGAAATTCTTTTCTGAGACTTAGGTTTCTTGTCTGTAAAATAGAGACAGCAATCGGAATGATCTTGGCAGTTACTATAGGAACTCATGATAATGGAGCGGAAGCAGTCAGCACGATGCCCTGCATTACTCTAGCAGGAGCCCAAGAAGTCACTGCTGCTGTTATCATCAGGCATATGTGAAGGAATGGACATTTTGAGAGTGCAGAATCTGGCCAGATGCCAGATTCTGTGCTCAGCACTGTCAAGGCTTATTTTATTTGATTCCCAAAACAACCAAAGAGGGATGTATCTGTACCATGAGAACTGAGATGGGTGAATTTGTTCCAGGGAGCTCTGGGTAAGAAGCCCTGGTAAGAATCATAGCAACAAGCACCTACCTTCTGTGATTCCATTCTGTGTCGAGCTTCCTGTGAGTCCAATCCACCATTCCTTGTCCTGGGAGATGTGCTGTTGCAGAAACTGCTGTATGCTTTCATCCCGAATAAAGACTAGATGGCCTCCATGCCCCTCACACCAGCTCTGGGCATCATAGAAGGTGCGCTTGAGAGGCACAAATTCATAGCAAGAGTCTCTAAAAGTTACTTGGCTCTTAGAGCAAAAACTGCCCTCCTCTGCCTTAGCTGTGGTGACTTTGAGCCACAGAGCCAGCCCCACGAGTACCAAGCCTGTCATACTCATCCTTAGCCACTCCGGAACATCTGGATGGAACACGTTCTTGGTCCCTCATATGCAGGTGCCTTTATGACCAACTGCAATTCATCTTCCCTCCTCTCTTTGCATCACACAATAGCAACTGTCTGTTCTTAAAGAAATGACTCAGAATGAATGTGTCATTCCTTGAGCCTCCCCAGCTCTTTGTTTAATTAAATTGCATAGAGGTCTTGCAGAGAAAGATAAAGCTGTTCTATCACCCATCTGCTTGTCATTGGTCAAAGCTTAGCTTCAGATCAAAACTCCTTGCTATCGGTTTTATGTGTTTACCCTCGAGGAACAAATGTTTCCTGAGATGCCGTCGGCATGTGGAAAGTATGTGATAAAAGAAAAATGGCAGGAAAGTGAGAGTTATGGGTAAAGAAACCGGAGTGTGCTCATATCCAACCCCATTGTCTAGAGTGATGACTGTACCCAAAAGATAATCACTGTCTCCCCAGTGTGGCTTCAGTCCTGATGGAGGTGTTTACCGCTGTCTGACTCATCACATCACCATTTCATGCCTGCCAAGAGAACGTATTTGATGTCCTCATGAAAATAATCTTCCCAACTCCAGACTTTCCCGTCCTTACCCACCACCAAAACTCTTCAGCAGGTGTCTGTGTTCCTGAGATCAAGTGCAAATTTCCTAGATTTGTAGACAATGCCATGTGTAAGCCAGCCCCTCACAATGTTTCCAAACACACCCCCAATATGTGGGGAAAGAGGACTCTGTGACCCACTGCCATTGTGAGTATTTTGACAATATCAATCAGCATTAAAAAGCTCAAGCTCTGCCTTAAAATCATTTCACTTGTAGGAATTTTGCTGCCAGTGAAGTTGTACCTATGTGAAATATACTATGTATAAGATTGTTCACTAATAGGGCCTTCCTGGTGGCACAGGGACTTAAGATGCAGCACTGTGAAGCTATCCACAGCCACTGTAGTAGAGTGTGATCCCCAGCCAGGGAGCTGACCCACGTGGCACAGCAGACCTCTCCTGTCTCGCCTGCTGCTCCCCTCAGCAGTGTATTTCAGTAGAACTGCCTGTTCTGCTCCCCACTATGTCTCTGGTGAATCCTCTCACCCTGGCATCTCTGGCCTACACCCCAGCTTTTATATGCAGAAATAAATAAATTTTTTAAAAAGATTATTCACTACAGAACTTTATAAGAAGAAACAATTGAGACAACCTAAATACCCATTGCTAGGAAACTAGTTAACAAAACGTGATGCATGCTACAAACCCACAAGAAGGGTGGTGAATTCTTTATATACAAGTGGGGAAATCTCTCTAACATGTTTGCAATGTTAAAAGCAAAATAGGAGACATGTCAGTCAGTGGTCCATGTACAACACAAAGTTATTTGTACATGTATGACATAAATGACATGTAAGAGCCTGGTAATAGTAACTTCCTGAGGAAGGGATCACAGGTGAGGAGAAATCAGAGGTGGAAGGAACTTTTGTTTCATTTGCCACATTTTGAAACTTTTCTATTTTGTACCATGAAAATATTTCCCCCCAATCTCATGGACTCATCCTCCCCTCACAAGGTCAAAATCACTCAGCTCTGCTGAGTGTCCCAACTCACTGCTGGTGCCTCTGAGCATCTGCCTATGCAGTTCCCTTTCCCCACTCCCTTCCAGCATTCCTTGACCCCTTTCAAGTCTCACCTCCAACATCTCTTCCTTTGGGAACTTTGTATAACATGCTTCTCTCCTCTGGGTTTCTTTAATCTTGTTTTGCTTAAAAAAGAACTTTAATAAGATGCAAGTCACATACCATATATTTCACCCATTTAAAATATAGAAATATTAAAAATAAGTGGAAAAGACCCAAAAAGTCATTGAGACTTAATACCTAATTTCATTGCAGTATCTAGATGGTTGCTGCCTGATCAAGAATCATTCTATAAAGCCAACTTGTGCTGTAATTTTGGTTTTTCTTTAATACACGCCAATAGTTTTTTTTATTCAATATTATACAAGGTTGTACAGCCATCACTACAACCAGTTTTGGAACATTTCCCTCTCCCCCAAAAGAAAGCCACATCAGCCATCCTACCCACCCTTCCTCCTCATAGCCCCTGACAACCACCAGTGGCCTATTTTTGTGTCTGCACATTTGCCTGTTCTGGGAATTTTCTTTGAACAGCCTGTGCCTTTTGTCACTGGCCGCTTTTACTTTGGCATCATTGTCTTCAAGTTTCATCCATGTTGTCACGAGAATGCATGTTTGACTCCTTGTTCATCTTTATGGTTCTCTATATGTTTATTGGATATGTGTTGCATGAAGGGCTTCCGCCACCTTAGCTTTTGGCTTCCCTTCTAGAATCATGTTGTTTGTTCATGATAACTTTCAAAATTAAGTTAGCACTTAGAGACTGGAGAAGGGAGACAGGCCATGTGGTGGGACTCTGGAACCTTCAAAAACGGTGTCAGGTAAACAGCCAGAGACTTTAGAGAACACAGCTGTCTGAGATGTGGATTTAAGCTGTTAACTTGCTCCCACACCACTCTCCTCACAGCCCCTGGGGCCCAGATGCTCTGGACATTCCATGTAAACTATGGCCCTTTTTGTCTGGCTCCCTTCTCTCAGCATGACATTGTCAAGGTTCCTCTGTGCTGTTCCAGGTACCAGTATTTCATTCTTTTTATGGTTGTATAACATCTGCTTGTGGAGCTTTGCCATATTTTGTTCACCCCATCACCCAGCAGTGTTCTCTTGGGTCAGTTTATTCTGTGAATTTCTCAAGGGGAAGGAATACTGTCTCTCAGCTCCTGTCCCATGTACCCAGTACCCCTCCAGGAGAATTTATCAGCCTGGTCTATCTTTCAGGGCCCAGGGACTGAACCTGGGGCTCCCCAGACTCAACCCCTGGGGTGGCCCTGAAATCTGGACCCCACCCGGGGCAGGATTCCATGTCCTCGCTGACTCACAGGCTACAGCTCGGACTGAGCGGAACTGGTCTCTTATCACTGGGGCCAAGCTTCTAATGACTCCCATTGGAAAACTACATGGAATGCTGCAGGCAGTGATAATGTATCTGAGGAATAAAGGCGCAATTTATGTCCCTCATGGAACATGCTTGGAGACACTTGATAACAAGTGCAAATCTGCAGGCTAAATTCCATTTTCCCTTTCTTTACTTTCTGATTAATTGCAGACTCCTGGCTATGGAATCCATCTGGTTGATGTCAGCTCCCAGTGTGCCTTGACCTCTGTGTTGATGAAGAAAGGGAGCAGGACATGGCTGGGCCCATGTGAGTACATTTCCGTGATCTCACCCAGCAATCTGGACTTCCATATTCTGATTCTGGGACTCAGCAAATGAAAATAGAAAACAAGTTAGGCTTAAATCCAGCATGGAAGCCATAAAAAGAACCACAAGTATGTTTGTGCCTGTGGCCCACATGTCCTCAGTCCTGGGAATGGACCCACTTAGGGTGGATTTCCCAGAAGCTAACTGAAGCAAAAAGTCCATAGTCAGCTGTCTATTTGGGAGAGGACCCAGAGAACAATGGTAGAAACCAGAGTTCAGTGCATATGAACTAGAGTGTTCAATGCTCATAATGAATCTCTGCACTCCACATCTAAAAGACAGTGTAGCAGAATTCTCATGGCTGCATCACACTAATATATTTTCATTTTTGTATACTGCCTTTGTATGCTTCTTCCCCGGAAGATGGGAATTTGGGATCATCCTCGTGTTCGTGCTGAACTTGCATCCCCACGAGTGTTAGATCACGAGTGTTAGATCACCAGTCTTTTCCAGGTAGCTAAGGGCTTTGACATCAGGATGGTGGTGACTGAGCCTCCCTTTACTAAATGAGTATTTACTAAATACCGTTTCTTTATAGCTAGGTAGTTTGTGTGGTTTCTAATCATCGGTCATGTACAGCTTGGCTCTTCTAGTCAACACTGCTGTAAATATCTCCTTGCACTGACCCCTTTAGCTAGGTTGCATTATCTTCCAAGAATTGTAACTGTGAACATATTGTCAAATGTTCTGAGAACCTGCTGTCTAGCAGGCAAACATGCAAAGCCATTTTCCTAGATTTAATGTGTAAACGGGCTCCATCTTTTTACTTATGCAGGAATTTTGCTGCTTGAAGAAAAAGCCATTCTCCACACCCACCAAAGACCAAGGAGTCAGGTAAAGAACATTTAACAATGGGTATCCTGGATTTGCATCCCTACAGTCCATTCTTTAGAAAGAAATCAAACCCTGCAAACGTTACCTGATTTCACTGATAAAGAAACAAAACAAAGGGTAAACCAAAACCAGTCCAATATTAGCCACTGGAAATCTGTAGGATGAAGGGGGCACAATTGTCTATGGTCAAGGACTATGGTGCCTTGGTGGTGACTGTGGTCTGGTGACTTGCATCTGAAGATACATGGTCCTATACCTTTGGGTCACTTACAGTGTTGTTAACCAATGTTGCCTCAATAAAATAATCAATAAATCCCCATTGCCTTCCACTAGCACCAGCATATCTTTAGTTTGGAACAATTTAGTACTAGAAGCCCTTCCTGTTAAGAATAATTGCATTACAATGTCTGTGCCTCACTGTTCCTACCTATGTAAACTAAATTCAAACTTGTGTTTCTTAGAACAGCTCTCCCAGAGTGATATCTGTATACAGGACTGCTTCCCGGGTTTGAATCCTTGCTTTATCTAATGGGACTTTAGTTTCAGTCAGTATAACACACACCATGACCCACCTTGACCCTCACTTACCCTGTAAGGCTTCTAAAGTGCAAGTACCTACAAAACCTCCTTCTGCACGAAGAGCAGATAGAAGTACCAGGAAGTTAGTTTCTCTTCACAGAAAGTATCACCTTTATTTGACAAGAGTTGGTGGATCAATCCCCCAGTTCCCTCTAAATAATGCCAAGGTATGTTCACACCATCTCCAGCGTTCTCCAGACAGACTGAGCTTCAGTTGCCCATTTTGGCAACAGCCTTTCAAATGCACC